GCCCACGTGGCTCACCTTCTCTGCCCTAGGAGCCTGGGACGCTGGTGGGGAGCTTCCTTCTGAGTGCTGGGCCTATCTGAGCTTCTCTGCCCTAGAAGCCTAGGATGGCAGTGGGGGAGCTTCCTTCCGGGTGCTAGGACTGGCTCACTTTTTCTGCCCTAGGAGCCTGGGAGGGTGGCAGGGAGCTTCCTTCCAGGTGCTGGGACTGGCTCAGCTTCCCTGCCCTAGGAGCCTGGGATGGTGGCGGGGAGCTTCCTTCAAGGTGCTGGGACCGGCTCACCTTCTCTGCCCTAGGAGCCTGGGATGGCGGTGGGGGAGCTTCTTTCTAGGTGCTGGGACTGGCTCAGCTTCCCTGCCCTAGGAGCTTGGGATGGCAGAAGGGGGCCTTCCTTCCGGGTGCTGGGACTAGCTCAGCTTCCCTGCCCTCTCTTTTATTTCTTAAATTTTCATATTTCTCAAGTAAAATTGTCAAGTAGTTTTAAATAAGTAAATATTTAAGAACATGATTATAACATTTACAAATATTTAAACCCTGTAATCTTTCTCAGTCTAAAATAAATTTACTATTTTTTAATATTTGCCTTTCACATGAATATTTAGTTGTCTTCAAGCCAGTACTCACTCTGTAATAGTCACTGTTTTACTTTTCATTTTTCCACATTATATGAGAACTAATACACTTTCAAAGATAAGTCATGAAGTCTGTGGAGTCCTCATTTAATATTGGTCACTTTGATATTAAAATTGATCACATTTTTAAAAAAATTGATCACATTCATTGTTTAAAGCATTGTTATATTAAAGCTTCTACTTTTACTAAATTAAAAAAATTAATATAATATGTAGTCAGTCTTGAGAAGCCTTATTTACCTATAAGTTTACAGTGTTTAAGTTTTCTTCAAAGGTAATTTTTTCTCTATTTATCAAAAGCAGTTACTGAATTCTTATGTCATAAGTTATTAAATTCTCCTACTGATACAGGATGGCTTTATTCTGAGCGCTTACAATCTAAATGAATGATTTTTTTCTACCAAGGCGACCCAGTAAAGCTGTCATTAATTAATACATTAAAGGAGGAAATTTGTTTCTTTTTCTCACATATTTTGAGCTTTCTGTTCTAAATACTTCCTAGTTTTTCTGTAAAAATTTTTGCCAAGGGGCCCAGTGAGGGAAGCTTTGAAACGGAAGTACTACATGGCCTAGTCACCTTTGCAGAGCCTGGGTTATTATCTTGTGGTATACCTAAAACTATTAGCATACTTTTTCTGTTTAATTAGCTGGCCTATTTTAGTGGGCTATAAGAGTTTGTCCACTTGTTTGTGGCTACATTTTTCTATTGTTCGAAGTGGACATGTGCTATGTTTGAGGGATTAAATCAATTAGGAATTTAATTTGAAGCTGGATTTGATTAATTATATAAATCTGACTGGTTAAATTTGAGGAAAGGTATTTTTAAACACTAAGTTTTGTATCTTAAGAGTAATAAATGCATATAATAAATTTAAGATCTGGTGGCTGAGTTCCAGGGTAAATTTCTAAATTCAAAGTGTAAAATATCTTTGCATCTATAACCAAGGGATATATTTTCATATGATATTTGGAAGGTTTACTTGGCATATGGCTGAAAGTGTCAATAACCATGAAATGATGCAAGTTGTTCATCCATTTTCATGTATTTGAACAGTGTATAAATTGCTTGACAATTTGAAACAAAGCTTTCAACAAATGATCAAATAGCAGCCAAATCGTTGGAAACACAGGCAATTTTGAAAGAAATTGAATCTCTTGAATGTCATTGTTCTAAAAATTTCAACACCACATCTGTCATTTCTCCATAAATCCATTAGATTCTGACAGTTGGAATGATAAAATCCTGCTATAGAGGCCTTTAGTTCAGATAGTGGGGTATCATGATAAATATATTTTTGAGTGTTACTGTTGATGCATATGGTATGTTTTCTTGTATTTCATTATTAGTGCATTTAAAAATATTTTGTACCCTATTGTCTGTTAAAATTTCCAACACTGAATTGCAGTTTCTGCCCTAGTTCTAACATTGGATCATTCAGGTATACATGACTATTTGTAGCATTTTGACTAGTCAATTTATTTACATTATTCTTTTCTTCCTCATGTGAATCAAGGTCTTCACTCTACTTCTCTATCTGTCATATCTCTTATCTGTCATATCTGTCATATTTTGCTAATGTTTTTGGTTTACATGATCCAGCTCATCATCAGTAGCCAAGTCATCTGATAACTCAATTTCAACATCTTTCCAAAGTTGTAAAAGTGGATTTTCATGTGACATTGTACTGAATTGGGCTAATTCAAGGGCCGGGGATTTAGCTCAGTGGTTTTGCCACCTGCTGCACAAGCACAAGGACCCGAGTTCGATCCCCAGTACCAAACAAAGAAACAAACATTGAATTGGGCTAATTCTACAAGAAAAATAGAAAGAAAACATTTAATTAAAAAATTATAAATACACAAAATGTAACACAGTGCATAACATGGGTGAAACTCACCATTAACACTTTGACACACGTGTATACACCTTGATATTCATTGTATCAAATGGGTGAACACAAAGATAGCTTCCTATATTCCTCCAGTGCAGCTCCTGAGACATAGCCAGCTACCATTATGCCAAAGTATATATTTTTATTAAAAAAGTAAGTGTCCGGGGATTTAGCTCAGTGGTTCCGCTGCCTGCCTTGCAAGTTTGATCCCCGGTACCCAAAAGTAAGGTATGGGCGTCTGCAACCCAGTATGAGCAACTTAATTACTATCTAGTTTTTCTGAGAATCTTACTGAACTCCTATGTAATACATTCTACAGATTTCAATGGGACAGATGTTACAAGATTTTGGAAAATTCCTTGGGATGTTCCTTCTTGTATTGTTTTCTTTCACAATTGGACTGACACAACTCTATGATAAAGGCTATACACCAAAAGAACAGAAGGACTGTGTAGGCATCTTTTGTGAACAGCAAAGCAATGATACCTTCCACTCGTGAGTACTTTTTAAAAATTTTTAGTAAATACATCTCTATCTGTGTCCTGTGTGAATTAGTGACCACAGTAATGGAACTTAGAATTTTTTTGAAGTTTTTTTTAATGTTTGTAAACCTTTAACAAATACTCATTTTTATGAATCATTTATAGTCAACTTTACTATAGAATCTTAGATAGAAGGTCCAAATTATTACATTTGTGTTCTTTGCTGTGGGCAATCTTAACCTCAAATGTCTTGGCCTTTGGGGCAGTTATTTTGTCATTTCCACATACTGCATTTCTATCCCTCACGTATTAAGTGTCAGTAGCACCTCTTAGTCATTGAAACAACCAAAAAACACACATTTTCAACATTTCTGAAGAGGTCATTAGAATTGAGAATCATCAAAACTTGATGAACAAGCCAGGTATGGTGGTGCACACTTGTAATCCTTGCATTCACAAGTTCAAGCCCAGCTTGGGCACTCAGCAATAGCAAGATCCTGTCCCAAAATAAAAAGTGTTGGGGATGTAACTCAGCATGAAGGCTTTGGCTTTAATCTCCAGTACTGAAAAAATTTTCTCTAATATCTCATAAGCAATGGAACCACCAGTTTTGAGACAGAATACTTGCCCTTGCTCTTAAATAAACAAACAAAACAGAAGAATTGCATACTTGTCTTCCTCTTATATACCAACAATTCTTTAGTTACTTTGTGTGTCCTCTTATTTAAATAATAAGATCAATGAGTATGTGTTTATTTAACACTAAGTGCTGAGTGAATGAAGTATTTATAGACAAACCAACCCTAATGGAACTTATACTGTAGTGAGGTGGTACAGGCAATAAAAAGATGAGTAAAATATATTGAATGTTACACAGTGATAAGAGCTGGAAAGACAAAGGTTGGGCTGAAGAATATATTTGCATGAAAGGATACAGCATTAGATTGGGGGTACAGAGTGCCCCAGAAGAGATGACATTCAAGTAAAGATCTAAAGCTAGTGAAGGCACGAGCCATGAAAAGGACGTTTAGAGGAAGAGCATTTGTAGAGAAAATGGCAAACACAAACGCCCAGAGGTGGGAGCATGACGCATGTTCAAGGAAAGTCCAGGTGACCAGTATGGATGAAATGTGATTGTAGCATATGAAGTCAGAAAGGTAAAAGAGATCATGTAGGACCTTACTAGCTCTTGTAAGGATTTTGGGCTGTTGAGATTGAAAGCCATATGAAGATTTTGAGCAAAGGAGGAGCAAAATCTAGATATCCTATAGGCTGCTATGTTGATACTAGACAGGCAGCAATTACTTATTGTTTGAAATTAGTATTTATCCTGTTAACCTTGTTTAAAATATGACATATTGGGCCAGGGATTTTAGCTCAGTGACTTAGCTCAGTGACATTGCACCTGCCTGGCAAGCTCAAGGTCATGAGTTCGATTCTCGATACCAAAAAATAAAATAAGGCATATATGTACTTTGGAAATAAATCTCATTTATTTTTGTTTTTATAAGTATTATGGAAGGATTATTAATGCATCATTTATATAATTTTGGTATATTATTCATTTTTGCTAATATCCTTAATTTCTTTTAAAACAAATATAATTATCTTTACAGGTTCATTGGCACTTGCTTTGCTTTGTTCTGGTATATTTTCTCCTTGGCACATGTGGCAATCTTTGTCACAAGATTTAGCTACGGAGAAGAATTGCAATCCTTTGTTGGAGCTGTTATTGTTGGTACCTACAATGTTGTAGTTGTCATCGTGCTTACCAAGCTACTGGTAGCAATGCTTCATAAAAGCTTTCAGTTAATAGCAGTAAGTGTTCATTGTTTTAAACCTTTATGTTCCATACTAAATGTATGCAATAGGTAAAGTAATTGAATTTTTAAGAATTAAGAAAAAATATCATTTAAAAATTAAAGATTTCTAAAATGTATAATAGTGGCAAATCTTGAGCCAATTTTTTATCTACAAGGTGTGGAACTAGTCAGTATCTGTTCTGTTCACTCCAGCCCATCTGCCTCTGTGTGTGTGTGCGTGTGTGTGTGTGTGCGTGCACACATGTGCATGCATGCACGTGCACATGTATATTCATATTCTATATTGCTTTTCATTTGCCTTTTATAGAATCATGAAGACAAAGAATGGAAATTTGCTCGTGCAAAGTTGTGGCTTAGCTACTTTGATGACAAATGTACATTACCCCCACCTTTCAACATCATTCCTTCACCAAAGACTATTTGCTATATGATTAGTAGCCTCAGTAAGTGGATTTGCTCTCATACTTCAAAAGGCAAGGTCAAACGGCAGAACAGTTTAAAGGTAAGAAAGTGGAAGTTTCAGTTGCAAAATAGAAGTTTTAGCAATTTCTAAGTTTCTTCAAGCATAAATCTGCAAATTTTTTAAGGGCTATGACTGATGTGTTTTTCCCATTGTTTATCCCTAATGCATAGCATAGTATCTGACATAAAGGAAAGATTCAATAAATATTTGAGAATGAGAGAACTAAAACTTTTTAGTTTTCAAATTTCCTTGGTTTATGAAATCTCATAGTTTGAAAACATAGACAGTATCTCAGAATATCTATTCTTTCACTGAAGATAAAATATGACTACTTTACCTGAGCATAGTGGCACACACCTATGATCCCAGCACTTGGGAGTCTGAGGCAGGCAGATCATCACAAGTACAAAGCCAGCCTGGGTTACATAGTGAATTCATGGCCAGTCTGAACTATGTAATGAGACCCTGCCCCCGCCCCCCCGCAAAGACTACTTGAATCATCTTTTTTGTAATTATTATTCTTGAAAATTATTCAGTATATTAATAATTCAATTCATGTTGCTTGTAATCCAAGGGTTGACAAGCTTTTCTTGTAAGAACGCCAGAGAGTAAATATTCCACACATTGCAGGCCAGGACAAAATGGAGACATTATGTGAGCAGTGATAATGACAAAGAAGAAAAATTTTTATAAAATTTTATTGATGAAATAGAAATATAACCATACAGTAATTGTGTCAAAATCTTTGTGATACAAGTCTACTAATCAAAAGAACAGAATTCCTTATATTAGGGATAAAATTTTGCTTAACTAGGCCTTAAAATTAGAGTGTGGCCTGTCATAAAATTCATTGCAAATGTTCCTCTGTAAAAGCCATCCTTAGCTAGCATGCTATTACAAAAAAATAGAAAGTGGGCCATATTGCCTTGTGGGTCATGGTTTGTTAAAACCTGCTATAAAGTGAAGATTCCTAAGACTAATTTTTTAAACATCAAGATAGGCAAAAAAGGAGAATGTATAAAACAAATACACAGGCTATCTAAAACAAGTGAAATGTTATTTTGTGTCACATTGTGGCAAAATTATCATTTAATAAAGCATTAAAAGATGTGTTTGTATCTGAATATTTCTAAAATCTACCTCACTTAAATATTGTGTCTGTGACAGGGATGTAGCTTACTGGTAGAGTGGTTGCCTAGCGTGCACAAAACCCTAGGTTGGGTCCTCAGCACTGGGCTGGGAGGGGGAATATGCATAGTTTCTGCATATTGTTAGTATCATATTATTATTTGTTTTCAAGGAATGGAGAAATTTGAAACAAAAGAGAGATGAAAACTACCAAAAAGTGATGTGCTGCTTAGTGCATCGTTATTTGACTTCCATGAGACAGAAGATGCAAAGTACAGATCAGGCAACTGTGGAAAATCTAAATGAACTACGCCAAGATTTGTCAAAATTCCGAAATGAAATAAGGGATTTGCTTGGCTTTCGGACTTCTAAATATGCTATGTTTTACCCAAGAAATTAACCATTTTCTAAATCTTACAGAAAATAATTTTCAGTAGCAAATCTGAAAGACTATTTGCATAACTTGCAATTAAACCAATTATATATATAGAAATAATTATGTAAAAGCCATTCTTTATAATATTTGTAGCATAGAAATGTAAAATATGTACATAGAATTAGTTTTTTAAAACTTGTCAATGAATTTTTGCAAGAGCAAAACAGATTAAGTGGATAGGTTTTTTTTTGTTCGCATGCTGCTTTGTTTTCTTAATTGGACAGTGCTTTAAAATGTTTTCTTTTTATGTTGTTAAAGAAGAACATTTATAAATGTATACATTGTCTAGAAGATTTTGTAAAATGAAAAACAACAAATGTGGGCTGATCTTTTGACCATAGGATACACTTGAAACATACAAGTTATGGTTTTTAAAATCTCTGTTTTAGGAGTTCACATATAGCTCAGTACTTACTGTTCAGGAGTATAGTTTTATCTAAAATCAGAGTCTTTTTCTTTCTTGATTTGTTGTAATCTTACGCAAAAAAGTGAAAAGTCTAATGAATATTTGAATCTGTGTCTCTCAATATAAATTCACTTTGCTTTTTGTTATTGTAATATACTTGTTTTACATGGTTATAATCATTTTATATTTTAAATTTTTTTCACTTAACAGTATTTTATATACATGTATATTTCCATATGTTGGTGTAGTCCATGTATTTAAATTTTTATAGAATTATACAGTTTTAAAAAAATATAGTCAGCAAATGTTCTTATTTTATAACCATAGAATATTTGTTTATGAGTTTTCATAGTTACTTTTTTGGGCATTTGGTTGCTTTTAAAGTTTTACTTATCAAAATAGTGCTATAATTTTTTCACTTTGGAGTGAATATTTGTAATTATAAAATAGAAGATGCTTCTTTATTATGTGTGTCACAGCTCGTGTTAGTTTTGGAAAACATTGAAAGACCCCTTTTGAAAGGATTTGTTTTATAATGGAATTGAGGGTTTTGAGCTTATCTCCCAAAGTATTTTCCATAGGATTTAACACAGCATCTATTAAAGTGACTTCATGTTTATTTGTGGATAATTCTTGCTGCTTAACATGAAGAGCATTGTTTTTAAATTTGAGAGTAAAATATACATTTAATTTTTTTCTGTATTCACAGAAGGGATATAGCTAAGATTTTTCACTATTGCTTATATATTCTTGCAGCATTTCCAGTTAAGAAGAAATTAGGTATATAATTATCTTCTTAACTGAATGTCAGATGGTCTTAAGGCCACAGGGTGCAGGTAGCCCTTGGTCTATAAGCACCACCAATCCAGGGATCATTGTCTGATTATGTTAATATTATGTTTTGTCTTGCTTTTTAATTTTTACTTCTTAATTTCCAGATTTTTAGTCTTCCCTCTTTTGGGCAAATTCTTATAAAAATGTTTATTGTAAAGTTATATATTTTGTCTACAATGGGATTATGCATTTCCCAATTGGGATTTTACATCAGAATTTTTAGTCATTCTAAAAAATATCTAATTATTAAAATATTTATAGAGTGCCTATTATATGCATGAGTAACCTTTGAGGTATATTTTGAATGACAGCACATTGTAAGAAAAAAGATGAATAAAACTTGATATTAGATTATGAACTGACATAGTCTGTCCATTGTGTTACACACTTTTAAAAATTGAGATATAATTCACATACCATAAAATTTATCCTTTTAGAATTTACAACTAGAGGGTATTTTTAAACTTATGATAACAAACACATAAAATGCAAAACATTTCCAGACTCCCTTTGCACCCCTTCCTCTCTCCAGTGGCAATCACATTTAATTCAGCTCTTTTCTCATATATTTATAAATACTCATGTTTTGAAATATGTCCACACAAAGACCTGTATGTAATTGTTCATAAAAGCTTTATTCATGGTCCCAAACTGAAAACAACGAGATGTCCATCAACTTGTGGATGGATAAATAAGTTGTACATTCATACAATGGAAATCTACTTGTCAGTAAAAAGAAGTCATATCAGTCAGAGTTGAATCAGAGAAGCAAAGCTCTTAGGATATTTACAGGGATGTGTGTGTATGTGTGTGTAGTGACTTGTTTATAGGTATCTGACATTATATGCTTGTTGGAGTTGATAAACAGTCTCACAGTCTGCAAGGCAACTGCTTTTGCATCTGATGCTGGAGCTTCAAGTGCATGGGATAGGTGGGTGAGAAGGAAAGACAGATATAAAAGAGCAAGGGCAAGATGGTTTGAGACCCATGGGAACACCTTTTTTTTTTTTTTAATGGTACTGGGGATCAAACTCAGGACCTTGAGCTTGCAAGGCAGGCATGGTGCCACTGATCTAAATCCCTGGCCCAGCACTTCTTAAATCTTCAACCTCATGGTGTGATACCCTGTTGCCGTTTGCTGCTGGCCTTTAGAAGTGTGTTGCTGAACACACAGCCCAGGAATCAGACAAGCAGAAGGATCTAAAGAAAAATGGAACAACTGCTGCCCGATGTCAGCGAGGTGAACCAACAGATGTGTTACCAAAGTAAAAAATAGTTGCTGCTTTACTTCTGCTCTCCAGATCTCACACTAAATTATTTATTGTAGTCTACCTTAAGTGGAAGCTTACAAGGAAGGGAATTCTGGGAAACATAATTAATCCTATCCTTTACCACTGAAATCTAATAGTATTATATTTTAATTATTTCAAAAGTAAATAGAAACCTTCCACACCACCCCAACGAAGACCAGTATATTTGATCATTTAGTATTGTGTTCAGATTTCATTTCATTAAGATTAACATTTTTCCTAAATGTAATTAGAGGTTTTTGTTATTTGGTTGAGGGACACACATACCCAAGTACTTACTAATCAGTTGGTCCTTTTTTTAAAATTTTATTGGTACATTTTAGATACGCAATATAATGACATTCATCATTGGAAATTTGCACCTTTACATAATCTCTCTTGGTTATTTTTTCCCCGTCCCCTGCCCTCCCTTCAATCCCTCCATCTCTCCCTATTTACAAAGACTTTGTTTCCATTTTTTCATTTTCTCAT